TGAAGGCTAGATATATAAAACCGTTTTGAATGTAAAAATAATTTTCATTTTAAAAACTCTCGAAACTCTGACGAAAATAAATGATTATTTTCATTCATTGATGTATATAAACTTTTCTGTTATAAAAATACAATATACAAATGAAAAATTGATTTTTATTGTCTGAAAGTCATTGATTTTTCTTTCTTATCACTATGATGGTTGCGACAAAAATAATTAGAAGTATAGGTAAATCCGACGCAGGAATAATAACTTTGAAGCACGCATACTTCCAAAACGATATAAAATTTATATGATGTCATTCAAGCAATGTTTGACGCACACGAGTATATGATAGTAAAGTCATTTTCGTATTTTAAATCGACAAAAATCTCCCTCCATACACAATGTATAGTAGTTTTAGAAAAAATAGTGCATTCATTGCATTCACACACGGCTATTATGGTTCAGTGAATTTACGAATTTTCTGATGCAAAAAATTTGCTCAGTTACAAACAAACTTTTTGATAAAATGAAAACAAAAATAGAAAAAATACCCAAATATTGCTCACAAAATATTTATTTTTACAAAATAAAAACCGCTGCCCGAGGGGGAATTTACTAGTTAAAAACGTGTACACTTGACTACCGGTATTACACCTCATATTACCCTTATTACTAAGTTATTACATGTTATTACAGAGTATTACACATTATTACAGAGATATTACAGATTTTTTGCGTTATTACAGCACCGTAATAACGCATTATTACACGGTATTACACGTTATTACACAATTATTACAGGAATAGTGTACACTTGACTACCTAAGCAAATTCCCCCTCGCCGCTGCCAAATTAAAGTATGAACTTTTTGTGTTTATGAAATGAACACTTTGCTTCCTCATGGATATTTTTTGTGATCAGTTTATGGTAAACTTATTTAGTATTATAATAATTTTAAAGGTGTTAAGTTGTATTTTTTGGGCGTTTGCAGAGATAGATTTTTAACATCAATAATTTCGTAATATTTTACAATAGAAAGTTCAATAATAGATCAATTGATTCGTTTTTAAATATTTTCCAAGTTGTTCATAATAAAGATTTTTTAATAAATGAAAAAATGATGTGCAGGTTTTTTAAAATTTTTCAATTTTAAAATGTTAATAACTTTGAATAAAATAACAGTAAGATATTCGGTAATAGGTCAAAAGATGTGTCTTGAAAAACTTTACAAAACTGGAGTTAAATATCTATTGGTGTCAAATAATTTTTTGTTATGAGCAATAAACGTTTTTTTTATAATTTTTAAAAATTCAATAACTTTGGATAGAATAACAATAGAAGGTTTGCTAATAGCTCAAAAGATGTGTCTTAAAAAAACTCTACAAAATTAACGAATAATATTCATAGGTGTCCTAACATTTTTTTAAAGTTATGGGCAAAAAACGATTTTTCAAAAATTTTTAAATTCAAAAAAATAATAGTTAGGGGAGAGTGGGGAGTTGTGCCTCGTTGGGAGTCGTGCTCTACCTTAATTTTTTTATTATGGCAATTAATATGACAAATTTCAACTATTGGCATATTCTTTTCTCGTTAAGAATTAACTTTTTAAGTGGTACCCGTCATTTTTGGAAGCATTTTTCGTGTCTTTACAGATAGTGAGTTAAAATTTTGTTTCAAAAGTTTTTTTGTCTCTTTATGTTTAGATCATTTCCACTAATATTTTCAAAGTGATTACAATGTTTAATGCATAAAAATTAACTGTCATTAATAACTTTCGACGTACAAAAAAAAATTCGCATAAACATTCGACGTATTAATTATTCAATGACTATTTTGTAAATGTAGAAAATGAGGAGTTGTGCTCCAGCTTTAGTGGGGAGTTCTGCCTCACATCATATTTAACAGTTTTTAATTCTAATACGCACTCTCTATTTTTATTTCGAATTATTTATGAATAATTAGAATGTTTTATGCTATTTAAAATTGTTCTTCAGTGAAATGAGACTTTTTACATATGTATTCACTGTAAATGAAATTAATTACCTAGTTTCATTCAATTATTTTTAAAATAATATAATTTTATCTAAATTATCTAAAATTAATTTTTTATTATCTTATCTATTACTTTATTTTATGTAAGTTATTTTACTTTTTCACATTTCATAATTTAAATAAAGAATATTCTAAACAATATGTCTTTTTCTTCAATTTTCAACAGAGGAGCACAACTACCCACTGTTTTTGAAAAGTCATAAAACCAGTATTTTCGAAAAACAAGCAAAGTTTCTATTTCCGTTTTGAATTTTAATTAATCAATTATGCCAAAAGTTGTGTTTGTACGTATACTAAAAGTTCTATATATAATAGAATAGTCAAAAAAAAATATTTATGTAATAGTTTTGATCAAAAAACAAAACCTGGAGCACAACTCCCCACTCTCCCCTAATCTTTATTAATACAGTTCAAAATACTCTCATTATTTGTCCGCCAGTGAGACTTAAAATTAAAAAAAATTTATCCCTTTAGCTCTTATAGTATGTATTAGAGATATTTATGAAAATGTAGTGTATATATATACACACACACGGAACGACATTTTTTGAAAATGTGATTTTTGGATTCCTAAGGTCGTAAAACATAAAGATACATCAAAAAATCGAGTTCGAAAAATTTCGGTATTACAATGCTTCCTCCTTGAGGAAGCAATAATAATAAAATAACTAATAATATTAATAAAAAAAACTATAACAATACTTTTCAATAAGGAAAATTAAAAGTTACATCAGATTTTTCTATGAAAGGTAAAAGTAAACGTAAAAATTACATGTTTATTAGAAAGTATTAGAATTGAAAAACGAAAGTGAAATAATTTCATGAGAAAAATAATTATTTTGAAGTAGGAAGTTAAAGTATTTTTAGTACAATAAAGAGGATATTTTCAATTTTTTTCTTTTTTTTTTGGTTAGAAAAATAAATGTTTTTTGTATAATAAAAATTGTATGTATGTGAATTATTCACAAAATTTTGTTATTTATATTCAACGAAATTTTGTTCAATTGAAAAAAAATTTGTTTTTATTTAATTTAGTACATCATTAAATGTTATATTCTCTTATAAAGAAATGATTATTTTGTTTAAATAAATATGAATATTTTTTTGATTTTATCAGTTTCTTTCAATTGTAAAAAAAAATTTATATAGATTCTTATGGATTTTAATGGCTGAAGTTTAGCAAAAAAAAAAAAGAATTTTCATGATATCTATTTTTCCCATTGAAGAGATATATATCGTTCTTATTGATTATTGTATAGAAAACAAAAGAATTTCTCTATTTTTCGCTGACTCGGGGTTCGAATGTACTTGAGTCGGCTTTACTTCCGGTTACCCTTCCCTCCCACCCTTTAAAGTACTTTAAAGCGAGAGTGTATATAGTCTAGGATGCTGTCAGGGACGACTTCAAGATATTTACGCCACGGAAATGTAGAAAGAGAATATCATTTTTTTTTACCGTAAGTGCATTAATCAAAACTTCGTGAAGAGAAAAAAAATCACTTCTCTCGTAAAAATCTTTAGTGTGAACAAATAATTTTCTTCTATGTCATATATTCAAAAGAAAAAAAAATTTTTTTTCCCAAAAAGAAAAAGTACAAAAATTATATAAAATTATTATATGGAGAGAATTTATTTTTTATTTATTTATTATTATAAGAAAATAACATCAACGATTATAAATAGAATATTTTTTCCTCTTAATATAAGATTACCGTTTTTCACAATTGTTTGCAAAAATTTTTGCAAAATTTTTAAATTTTCACTAATTCGAATTAATGACGTGACTTTTTTCTATATATAAATTAAGTAAAGTTTACTAATAAATGAGTAAACAATTTTTTTTCACTTATTCATAATTAAAATTTAAATAATTCATATAGCAAAAATTCATGAAAAAAATTGTTTATTTAAATTAGTTAAAATTTTTAATAATTCAAATTTAAAATATATAATAGGAAAAATTTTTATTATATTATTGTTTTAATTTTTTCACTTTTTTTTAAAAGACAATTTTTATTTTTCTCCAAAAATTTAACAATTTTAATTTTATTTAAATTTTGTTTCAAATTAATAATAAATGGAATTAAAAAGTAAATTCTTTAAAAAAAAATAATAAACCTAATTAACAAATGAAATATACAAAAAAATAAATTAATCTAAAAAAAAACGTAGTAATGAAAATTAAGAAAAGTTATGAACTAATGAACTCAATTTCTTAATAAAATAATAATAAAAAAAAAAATAGTTTATTTGGAAAAATGTTTATCTGCTTACAGATAAATATGCATAAAATATTAAATTTGTAAATAAAAATAGCATAGCAAAAAAAGAAGATAATCGAATAATGAACTAAACAAAAAGGAAATAACAATAATAAAATAAATCAAAAATATGACATGTTCAATATAAAAAGATAACGATCTATAAAAAACAATAAAATTTTATATATATTAAAAAAAGTCTTTAATACGTTTATGCAATAGTTTTAATTAAAAATTAATAAACTGCAAAAAAAAGAATTGGAATTCATCAATTTCATTGGAATCGTTGGCCTAATTAATAATAAAAATAAAGTATTTTTTATGAAAAGTGCAGACGCGACCGGATGACATCGATTAGTATAGTTATAATATTTTCACGGTCTATCAAAGCCCCATACAAAAAGAATATACACTTTGAAATACTTTAAAAATATTTCTATGCCCCTAACAACAAGTGAATATAAATATGAAAAATTAAATCATTCACAAATGGTAAAGCCGACAAAAATGTTGTGATGGAAAAAAGTTTATGGTGATTGTATATATAGACGTATGTTTTTATCAATTTTAAATTTAATTCAAATGATGTAAAATGTGGGTAAAAAATGTTCTCTGATTCTTTAATAATTATTGAAAAATAAGGTAATAATAGTTTTATTTTTAAAATAAAAAAACAATGGAAAATTAATAATTATTGCTTACTTGTTCTTGTTCGACAGTTAACGCGGCCGCCATTTTGGCTCGACGACGAACTAGACAAAAATTACGCTCCCTGCAGTCGAGACATACAAACTAACGTTATCCATTGTATTTTTTATTGTGATATAGCAACAATAATATTTTTTTATAATACACACAAAAGAAGATTGCAATAAAGTAATTTTCGTCAAAATTAGTCAATATTTTCAATTAATGTATTATTTTTTATTCATAGAGTTAAATAATGTTTATTATACTGATTAAGATATAATATAAGAGAAATATTTTGAGTATAAATTATTTAATTAATAAAAAATTAATGTAATAATGCAATTAAAAATCGATGCAGTAATTTAAAAAATATTAAAATTACATATTTTTACGGTTCTAAATTGAAAATAAATTATTTAAATATTTCTTATATTCTTCAAATTTTAACAGTATTATATTTTATATATTTTGTAATTAATTTTTTTTTTTTTTTTCATTGAAATTTCAGATTTTTGAAAACAAAATATATCGATTTCTGTTATTTTCTTTCGAATTAATTTTTATAAATCATATTTTTTCGATTACATGTATTCAAATTGTTGTATTTTATTTTTCTACTGAAATTTTAGAAGATTTCTATACGCGATGGTAAAAGAAGATTCGGAGAAGTGAATAAAGGACAGAGTGATGCCATCTTTTAAAATTGAGCCAAACTCCTTGAAAGTTTGAGGAAAAATTCTAACCTTAAATATTATTCCTAATTGTACCACACAATTTCGGTGACATGTCACAACAACCTGTTAAAAAAATTGAGTTAAATATAATCTCGAAAAAATGTCTACAAACAAATTTTTGGAAATGGACATTCAAAAATTGTTCGAAGCTCATACTATAAAGGAAATAGAACAAATTCAAAAACAAATTCAACAGGAAAATGAAAGGAAGAAAATTGAATTGCGGACATTGGTTGGGTAAAGTTTAAAAAAAAATTCCTTAAATTTATGATTTTGTTTCAATGGGAGTGATTATGCTTATCAACAATGTAGTTTTAAGAATTTTTTAATGTAACTGATAAATTATTAGTTGAAATTTGTATATATATAGTTTAGAAATAAATATAATTTGAGAAATATATATTTTATTTGTGTGGTAATCTTTTGCATCTTACCTGCTAATGTTTTTTAAGATCTTATTAAAATAATTAAAATTTATGTAAAGGCCTCCCGTTGATATAATTGTAATTCAATTGTCAAATATAATCTCGTAATTCAGAACTCAGTTTAATATGAATGTAGCTCATTTTCCGAATAATAAAATCGTATCTCAATTTCCATTTAATATAATCGTATCTCAAAATTTAATACATAATAATGTTTTAAAATCTAAATTAAATTAATCATCTTAACAGATAAGAAACATTATCAGTTAATTGCAATTCTTGTTATTTTTTTATTGAAATACAGTAAAAACCCGTTTATCCGGACTAATAGATGCAGGCAGTTGTCCGTATATGCGAAAATCCGGATAATCGAAATTATAAAACACACAAATTTTCTTTATATAATCTTTGGTATGTATTTATTTACAAACATGAAAAAAAGAAATTCTTAGATACTATATAAATAAATACATAAATATTTAGTAAAAATTATTTTAGAAAAGTTTGCATAGATATTTTTTTTTCATTTTAAATAAAATTTACATTCAGAAATTAGAACAATTATAGGCATACATTAAAATGCCTATAATCATTGAGAAAAAAAAAAGAAATGAAAATTTGTCCGGATAATCGAAAATTCGGTTGATTGAGGTCCAGATAAACGAGTTTTTACTGTACTGAAAAATTATTTGAAAAATATTTAATAAAATAAATAAAAATTTTTATTGATTTTTTCATCTATTATTAATGTTTAAATATTCATTATATTATTATTATAACTTATTTATTTAATTTAATTATTTAATACCTATTATTTCACATTGAAAAATTTAAAAACCAAATTTTCTTTATAATTAAAATAAAATGTATGTATGAATAAATTTATTATTGTTTTAGAAAACTTATTAATTTAATTTATATTTTTCAACTTATTATTCCTAAAAATTTTAAATTTACTTGCACGTTAGTAAACAATTTTTATTTTACAAAAACTTAAATGAGAATTATAATTTATTATGTTAAAATTTGAGATACGATATTATTATAGGAAAATAAGCTACGTTCATTTTAAATTGATTATTATGTTTTGTAATGAATAAAAATTGTCCCTTTATGAAAAATTTGTTAGATATTGTTTAAAAATTATTTACTTCCAAAAATTACAACTAAATTGAAAAAGATACATTGGAAAAAGTATTTTGTTATTTATTGAAAACAAAATATTTATGATATTTTTGCAAAAGTACGTTCTTGTACATCTTAAGGCACAATGTTGGTGACAAAATTGTGTTTTTCGATATTAAGAATCTGATTATAAATTATTATAATTTGTAAAAAATCTTTTGCAATAAAATAAGTTTAAATATAAAATATATAAATATAAATAAATATAAAATATGTAAAATATTTTTTCTACTCTCTAAATCGGAATTAGTGAAGAATTGACTGAATTGAATTTAAATCAGTTCATTAATATATTTAATTTAATTAATTTTTCTCTGAAATAGATGAAAATGCACTGTTAAATCAGTGAAATTTTAATGATTTAGCAATTAAAATAAATGAAAATCAGTGAAATTCCATTAATTAAAATTAAGAAACTGTAAATTGTAAATTATGTAACATAGTTATTATGTAATAATGTAAAATTAAGTTAGTACTAAAATTAATTGTTAAAATGGATGATAATCAGAGAATTTATCAATAATTTATAATACTGACCTCATAAATTGCAATAAACTGTTATAAATTATGTTTACGTATTTATTTATTATACACATTCTTGAATAATAATAATTATTATTAATAAAAATGATTTATAAATGTTAAAAAGGTCTTTAAATGGACAATTAATTGATAAAATTAAATAATAAGTAAATAAATAATATATATTAACAAAACATCTTTTCTTTTTTCTTGTTATAATATTAGATAAAAATTTTTTGTTAAAAAAACAATTTATGCTTTTAGCGAAAGATATCGAGATTTAATTCAAGCAGCAGACACTATTGCTGAAATGAAAGAAACATCAGAATGTGTTGTTTCAAGAATTGGTGCCATACAAGAAACCTTTCAATTTTTACAACAAAAATATTTAATTGGATTCAAGATGGAACCTGATAAACAAATTTTAACCAGGTATTTTTTTAAATTTATTTAATCAATTATATGGGCAAAACTCATTCGTAGAGAGTACTAAGTAGATATATATACAAAAATTGAATGGCTGCATTATTATTAATTATTATTGCATATTTAAATTATTTAGTAATGAGATTTTACCTTGCAGAGAATCGCAACATATTTCTGATTCTGTAGTGATGCAGATAAAAATTTTAATGGATATTCCAGAACACATTTGGTCAGCAGTTGATAGCAAAGACTTTTTATTGGCCACAAAAGTATTTAAAATAGCGCAACATATTCATTTTAGTTTAAAATTTGAAGTAGGCAATGCAGAATTGACAAATAAATATCCAATCGTTGGTAAACAATGGGGCATTATTAGTCAATTTAAAACAATTATTTTAAATGGTTGCCATAATTTGCTTCAATCTTTGGATCTTTCTAAAGAGGTAAATTAAATATGTTTGACTGTATTTGAAAAATGGGTGTTATATAAATGCAAAAATTGATTTTCACTTTTTTGGCAATGTATTGGTCGAATGTCAATTCTGTTATCTTAGTGTTCGGGGAATTAAAAGTTTTGACAAATGCAAATTTGGGAATTTCAATATTCGTATAACTAGAGATTCAGTAAGTTTATTATTTGGACAAATGGATATTCGGGAAGTAAAATATACTGACAAATACAAGTTTGGGAAGATAAATATTATGACAACCGAAATTGTGGGAAGTTAGATATTATGACAAATGGAAATTCGGAATGTTAAGTATTTTGACAAATTGCGATTCGGGAAGTTAAATATTCTGACAACTGCAAATTTGGAAAGTTAAATATTTTGAGAACTATAGAATTTCAGAAAGTTCAATATTCTAACAATTGGAATTTGGGAAGTTAAATATTATGAAAAATGAAAATTCGAGAAATTAGATATTTTGATAACTGGAGATTCGGGAAGTTAAATATTTGGACAAATGCAAATTTGGTAATTTCAATATTCTGCCAACCAGAATTTCGGTATGTTAAATATTATGACAAATGGAAATTCGGAAAGTTATAAATTATGTAAAGTGGAAATCTGTAATGTTAAATATTCTGACAAATAGAGTGTTTGAAAGTTAAATATTGTAGCAAATGGAAATTCGGAAACTTAAACATTCTGACTAGTGGAGTTTTTGTGAATTAAGTATTCTGATCAGTGGATTTTCGGTTACATAAGTATTTGGAGAAATAAGTTTTTGACTTTTAGATATTTTGTCAATTGGGTTTTGGAGAAAATGATGGCGACCCATTTTGTGCGGGGTTCTTTTTTTGCTCCATCAATGAATAATGTCACTGTTTTAAAATAATGTTTTAAGTATTATGCCTTATGCCTAAGTCTTATATTAAATGAATTTTAATTTTTTTCTTTTCAGTCAGCTGCCAATTGTCTCGCATCTTTAATGTTACTCGCCGATATATCTTCAACAGATCTTTTAAATAAATTCATCACATTTAGAAATCAAGCAATACAATTTATAATCTCCAATGAAAATCATCACAGTGTTAGAAATCGTATAAAATTGAGTTTAAAAATGTTTATGGAAACAGTTTCTTTAATTTACAATTGTTTTGTCAGTAAGTATTTGTTTAAAAAAATTATTTTTGTACTTTAAACAATTTAATTTCTTTATTAAATTATAATTAATATATTATATTTTTCTTTATCCTTATTTTTAATTCTCTACAGAATCGAATCAAAATCAAGGACTGATTTCGCAGCATATTAATGATCTTAATCAAGTAGAAGCAACACAGATGTTATCACAGTTGGATTTAGATCAAGATCTTTTAGAGAAATATCTTCCGTCCATGACAAAAATGCATAAACCATTTGCAAAAGTAGAATTTTCCATTGTTGCTTTAGATGATCTTCAGCGAAATATGAAATCTTGGCTGAAATGGACAAGAAATTTTATTTCTTCTGAAGTTTCTCAGTTACTTGATCTTGTAACATCAGTCAAGGGTGTTTATGTGATTCGCGAAGAGGCTCTGGCTCTGCAAGTTCCCGAAAATTGGAATTCCATTTGGAATGATCTTTCCTTGCCTGGCGTCAATTTTTGGACAGAATTTTTTCAACCACTTCTTACGAAACGAGTAAAAGGTATTGAAAACAATTTTTTTCCCCTTTTTTTTGTATATAATATAAAATTATGTACATTTTTAAAATTAAATTTAAAATTAAAATCAAAACAGATATTGTCGTCGACAAGTGGAAAGAAAATTTAACGAACCTACGAGCAAATGTTTCGGAATTATTGATTAAAGTTTCTAACGAAAAGTTCGAATATCCTGAACACGATTTGCGATGGTTTGTGTGGAAAGATTCTCCAACTGATATTCCTCAAAATCTCTCCAAGAATATAGGTCTCGATCACAAGAGATCATTGCTAATGAAGGCTAAAGGATTTTCGCCGAATATTGTTAAACTTTGTGAAGATTTTGATCAGAGTCTTTACGTTCTTTTAACAGATCTCGAGCAATATTTGTATGAAACAGAACGTACGAGTGTAGTGAAAAATAATTTACTTGACATTAATATTTCCCTAGTTTCCAATAAATTCATTGATCGCGAAGAAATTCAAGACAATTTACAAAGAATAAGCGCCGAAATGATTAAGAATTTCATAAAATTTATAAAGGAAGATTGCATTGTTTTGCAAGCTAAATTTGGAAAACAGAATATTAATGCTATTTTTTCAGCAAGATTCTTACAAGCTTTGACACTATTGTGTCCGAATTTAAATAAATGCTTTACACTTTCTAAAACATCGGGACTAATCACAACGAATGTTAAGTGGCAAGAAATGTGTGAATTATTGAAAGAAGAAAGTATTTTTGTTTGGTCAACTTGGGCTGAAACTTTTAAAATGAGAATAATTAAACATCAGGATTGGTATTTAATGAAAGAAATTGTTAGTGGATTGAAAGTACATTCGATGATATCGGAATGGGAGAGAGTTACAATTGAGGAGGAGGCTGAAGAGGGAAAGAGAATTAAGTCTGAAATTCTTGTTCCTTATCAACCATCTGTCCATTTGCAACAGTATCTTTCAGCGATCTGCAAAGATTTGAATAAGATTGTGCCGCACAGCATTCCAAAGTGAGTCATTTTTCTTACTATGTCACTTGGAATTTTTTTTTGTTAATTTTCGATTCATGTTTTATTTTTTTTCCTCCTTCATCAATCTTATTTCCCCTCATTTCTCGACAGTTTCTTGCAAGCTGACAATTATAGTTTTCTTAATTATTTTTAATAAAAAAAAACTTCAAATCTAAACGAATTCTAGGATTGTCCTGAATCAAATAATAGTTGAAGTGGTACTGGCGGCTTTCGAGTATTATGAGAAAATATCTGCAAATCAAGATTTAAGGCAGAAATTAGCTATTCAAATTCTCTTTGATGTTAAATACGTGACCTTATTGATGATCCCAAGGGAAAATAAAATTCTGGGTGAAAAATCGACAGCTGTCTGCGATAATATAGTCTCTAAAATTGATCCCTTTGACTTAGATGTCTTCTATCCATTTATACACACAAATGTGAAGAAAGCAGTTCAAAGAACATTGGTGAGTTATTCAAAATATGTTAAGGAAAAAAAATATTTGAATTTGTTTAGAAAAGACAGCGATTTTTTATAAAAAAATTAAATTTTTTTAAATAAATAATTGAATTTATCACTCGGTCGCCTTAATTAAGATAAGAAGGTGAATAGAACGATCACTCCGAGTCAGGTTTAAAATAAAACAATTTCTTGACGTTTCAACAGCTCAGCTGCCCTCTTCAGAAACTATAAATTTATTAAATAATTATTGTTAAAAACGCGTTACATATATATTAATCGTGAAAATTATATAAACATGATTACCGGAGAAAATTGAAACAGAACGTCTATGTCATAGTAGTTTTGATTTTACACTGGTAAAACAAAAATAAAATTTTTCGAAGTACATGGTATCGGCTGTGATGAGGTGAATGACCACATCAGTAAATAGAAAATAAAGTAAGAGAAATGTCAAGGTATATCAAAATAGATAAGCGAGTTATGAATATTTCTTTTCATTTAAAAATTGAATGTAATAATTTTGTATATCCTCCTTTTTGTTAACCGGTTTTTTTTTGTAAATTAATATGTATAATCTCTGATATTAAACGTTTTTTGTATGTCTAGTATTTTAAAATTGTCCCAATCGAAATTGTGTTTGTAAGAATTTGGGCGCGATTTTTTTTTATTTTTTTTATTTTTACACACATGAAAATAATATAAAAATTTTTGAGCGAGCCTGATAATTCTTTTGTATTATATAATTTGTTTAAACAAATTTTTTACTTTTTATTCGTTTTTTTATATTTTTTGGGTGATACTTTTAGAGTTGGATGTCATTGAAATTATGTGTATTTAAAAAAAAAACTCGAAAACAGATTTTTAAAAATCCATAACTCGAAAATTTGAGCACTTACTTATAAAAAAATACGTTAACCTTTTTTTTCTATAAAGATCGAAAAAAATATATTTACCGAATTTAAAATGTCATAGGTAAATCTCACGTGGAATCACCCATATATAATTAAATATTGCTGTGAGCAATTCAAAAGTGATCTAATCAATTAAAAGTTTTGTCATATAATGAAAAGATTTCCACTCTTGGGCTTTTTCTGAACCCCCAAAAATTGTCGTTACAATTTGTATTTTCCGAGCTATACCGAATTAGTCATTTTCAACTCACTACAATGAAATTCCAAACTTTTTGAAAATAATTTTTTCAATTTTGAAGCTTTTCATTTGTTATCAAAAAAACTTTTTTTTATAAACAAGTTAAAAATAAACGTGTTCTGGATGAGTATATTGAATTTTATAAACATAGATTAATAGACATGAAGAGAATTTATTGAGGGTTGAAATAAAAAAAATTGTAACTCTGGAATAGTTTAATAACTATGAATTTTTTTTTGAAAGCGCGCTCGCAACCCATGCAACGCGTCTGAATACGTTGCTTTGTTACGCCTTTGCTGTGAGAACACTGTTTTAAAAAATTCCATGCTTCAGAATAAGAGTTACAAATTCAATTTTTATATATTCGTTATTTTATGGTATTGTTTATTATCACTAACAATAATAAATTCATTTACTTTTTATTTATAAGGTATTAAATGTACTATACTATATTTTTCTTAATTTAATAATTTTATTAAATACAATAAATACATCTTCAAGTCTATGTTTATAAAATTGAATATAAACATCCAAAACATATTTATTTTTTAATTTGTTTATAAAAAAAGTTTTTTTTATAACAAATGAAAGGTTAAAAATTGTAAAAATTATTTTCAAAAAGTTTGGAATTTCATGAGTAATTTACAAAAAAAATTTCGTCAATTTTTGTCAAAGCTATGCAAAAATGTTATGCATAAAACTTTAATTGTTTATAAAACATAACCAAATGGATATTTTTCAATAAAATTCAGGGGATGTTTTCAAATATATCGGAACTATACCTATTTTTGTGAAGTTTCGATAAAAAATTCCGACCCTTGACAAATCGGGGGCCATTGCAGGAATTCTCACCCTTATGTTATCAGAAAAACCAGTTTTTTAAAAATCCATCGCTAAAAACACAAAAATTGAAATTAAAAAAAGCGCCCGACAGATTTTGATTTTTCTTTTTGGAAAATGTCCAGTAAACATTTTCCTCTAACAAGTTGCAACAATAGTCGGCGAAAGGAAGCAACTTGAAGGTTGAAATTGTTTACAGGGTACCGTGATACTTTTACTATACGACAATCAAAACTAATTTCATTGAAATATTCTTTAAAAAATATTCAGTTTGGATTTTCAATTTCATAATATTTTTTTATGGTAATGCATATAATGATTATTATTATTATTTTATATTTCAGCTAATGTTCGGAAATCTAGTTCCACATTTAGAACAACTACTATCCGTATTAGGAGCGAGAATTGACAATTCTAGTGACAAAATAAAATCTATGAAAGATCCTCCGGGTGTTCTTGCTTTATGCACTGGAGCTCCTTGGTTTCCTCCATTGGCTGTCACAGCTCCTTCGAGAAATTTGCCACTCATCTCAGTTTCAATGCCAGGAAAATCACAGGTAATTTGGGTTGGGGAGAAATTCAAACTGTAATGTATAATTGATCATTTATTATTTTTTTCTATACATCTCTCCTATTGGTTGAAAATTAGATTTTTTTAAATTAAAAATACGTATAAAGTTTGATGTGCCCGTAGATTGACCTTTTCTTCACGTAAAAATCAAAATGGTAAAACGTAGTGGAAACGTGGCGTATACGTTTGGTAAGAAATAAATAGTTGCATGTGTTTCGCATGGTTTTTTATACTCTATTCAAAAACTAATGTTTAATTGTTACGAACCGCAGAAATGATTTGTTTTGAAATAATTATTATTAAAAATAATTAGAACATTACATCTGGCTTTTGAGATGGCCCAAATTTCAGTGGTTCTCGGAGGTCCAAACTGCCAAGGCTTGACGGGTCTTGTTTTAATTTATGGGTTCGTTTCGTCCTAATTGCTGATATTTTCCAAGATAAGATAGAAAATATACCACGACTTCCTTTTTGTAAATTGTTATTATTAGAATGGAGGGAAAAGAAAATGAAAAGAAGAAAGAATTAAAAGAATTATTAATTTTATTTTATCATTTAAAAAAATACTGCTGACAAATGTATTCCACTCTCTCTTACAAAGAAGGATTAGTATTCCAGGGTACAGACAAATCCACTCTCTCTTACTCTAATTCGTTAAGCCGTCAATTGCAAGGGCAGACGCGGGCTCTCCGCACCCGGCTGGTCTTTCGACAAAAATTTAGAAAACGACAATTAATTATATTTAAAACTCTTCACTTGAATTGATTCTTAACCGGCCTCCGTGGACTTCGAAGTAAGTTAGCGTTTTACTTTACGTCCGACCGAAATTATTCGTGTAAGCACACAAATTATTTCGGGTCCTTGGTACCGGACGGGAGCGCATAGGCTTTTTAATCCGGGCGGTTCCAAACAGAGTTGGAACTTCGATGCTCGCGGAAACCGTACTGAACGAAAATTTAGGGGCTGGAGATGCCTCTACATGTCGGCTTAGGGCACCTGGTGGGAAATTCTGCTGATTTTGAATTTTGAAATTGTAGGTGGAAAGGGAAGGTGGGGCCTGTTGCCATGCCAGTTTTGCTGAATTTGCAAATTAATAAAATCGGTTTAGTGCAATAGTGTTGAAATAATAAAGTCATTTCGAAATAAAATTATTTCCAATTATTCTTTTGAATAATTTTGTATTTTATATAATCTTTAAGATTTTTTTTAGAATTAACCCTCTCATATAAAAGGTTAATATAATTTAGGATAATGGACATTTCCAAGCAGAAAGAAATTACATTTTTTTTTAGTATTTTGAATGTTGTTCCAATTCCAGTTTTAAGATCAATTGTCTCAATATTGATCTGGAATTGATCAGTTGCATATAGATCTAAAAAAAGCACATTATAGTAAAGCAATGGCAGGCATGGCTTGTAGGCTTGAGAGATACAGAAGGGTAAGGTAGGATAGGCTGAGATTAAGGAAGCATAGGTGTATTGGTGATATAGCGTACAGCATAGACGTCTCCAGCCATACTAATGTGTATTATGGTCGTAATACCTATCGAGTGCATCCACTATGCATTCGACAGCGTAAGATCAAGAGAGACGCGTACTGGTCGTTGGAGCGAGAGAGAAAGTCATGCGACGGAGAGAGAACGCAGTACTCCGCGAGAACAGTGTGTCTGAGAGAGAACGCTTTGCCGTTACATACAATCTTCTTTCTCACTCGCGCAATGTCGAGGGCGTGCGAAGAGCCTTCACCAAGAAGACTAGAACCAGGAGGGGAAACTCCGTTGTAAAGATGCGGCGTGAAAAACAAGCCACTAGAAGGCGTGGCTTATCGTTCGTGCTTTGCTATTCAGACTAATTTGAGTGTTCTGCGCATACTTTCTTGACACTGATATTTGAAATGTAGCAGACGCTGTTTTTAAGTTTCTGTTTATGCGGTTATGGCAAATGGTTTACCCATAAATTTTTTGATGCGATTATATTTAATTAATTATATTTAACTAGCAAAATTAAACGCGCGCAAGCGCGCCAAATTGAGTGTTTAATTGTTTGTTATAAAGAAATTAAAGATTAATATTATCAATAATAATTTAATTTATTAGAATATTATTACATATTAAATGATAATAATGAAAATTATATGTTTACAAGCCTCGGATTATACGACTTTTTCTGACTTTTTTCAAAAATAAGACTTTTATCGACTTCTTTTAATAAAATGCGACATTTTTTTTAACATTTGAAAAAAATGTAAATAAAATACATTTTTCTAGTATAAAATGTAGATCTTCATCATATCTTCTTCAATTAAATTATTTAACAAATTTTAAACTAAAATGATTCTTCACTACATTAATTATTTTTAATAATTTTAATGAAATACATCACAAATTCAATTATATCAAAATTATTTTTCAATTAAAATTTTTATGAAATTTAACAATTGTTTATAATTTTTTAAAAAAAATATCACAATAAAATTTAATTATTTTTTAAAAATTTCAATTCAAAATAAACTAAAATTCAATTATTACCCAAAATTTTAATTCAAAATCAATTAAAAATCCAATAATTATCCAAAATTTTCAATTTAAAATTTAATTATTTACCAAGTTTTCAATTTAAAATGAAATAAAATTCAATTATTTTCTAAAATTTCTATTCAAAATTAATTAACCAAATTTTCAATCAAAAATGAACTTAAATTAAATTATTATCCAAAATTTCAATTAAAATTTAATTATTTACCAAGTTTTCAATTTAAAATGAAATAAAGTTCAATTATTTTCTAAAATTTCTATTCAAAATTAATTATCCAAATTTTCAATCAAAAATGAACTTCAATTAAATTATTATCCAAAATTTCAATTAAAATTCAATTATTTCCCAAAAATTTTCAATTTAAAATCAAATATAATTTCATTATTCTCAAAAATTGGAATTCAAAATTAATTGAATTTTCAATAATTTGAATTTAAAAGCATCTAAAATTTAATTATTTCTAAAATTTTCCATCGAAATTTTTTTTTTTTTGAAATTTAATAATTTCAATTATAACTCTAAGGAAATTCAATTATTTTTAACTATTTTAATAATATTCTTTGAAAATTCAACTATCTGAAACCATTTTTCAAATTATTGTATTTTGTCCGCATTTTCTAATAAATTTTTAGTGAAATCATCTAAAATTTTAATTACAAAACACTTAAAGTTTCAATTAATTTCAAAAATCTCAATTTTAAATCTTTGAAAATTCAATTAAATTTAAAAAATGTTTTCCAAAAATTGTTTGATAAATTATTTTCAGTTCTGGAAAATTTAATAATTGTTTGAAAATTAACAATATCTTTGAAATTTAATTATTTCTAAAAATTTCAATTTTAACCCTTCGAAAAGGATTATTATTAAAAAAAAAAAAAAAAAAATTTTATTTAAAAATCTGTAAAATATTTTTGTTAAAATAAAAAACAAATCCACTTTTTTTTGGAATATAAATCGACTAAAACGACTTTTTTGTGTCTTTAAGTTGATTCGAGGCCTGTGTTTTTATAATTAATATTTAATAGGTATTCGTTGGCCCCTGGTACCTTAAAAATTAATTTTTAAAAATAAATGTTTTTCAAATTACTATCTTATACGAAATTTCCTGGCGCATCTTTTTTCTCATCATACATTTTTTGTACAATTTTTGAATCAATATACAACTTTAAAAAGAATTTCGTTGGTAAACGTTGTGTACTTCAGCTTCGTGAATTGAATTTTCGAATTTGGAATTTTAAAGAAACTTATTCCGAAATTTGGAAACACAATTATACAACTTTGGCAAAAATAAGAAAAAGAATTGTCAAAATTTGACACGTCATAAGATTACTATTCAAAAAAACACGTGAAATCAGAAAAGGCCAACTTCAAGTTAGGACAGAAGGACAGACCAAGCATTTTATTATTATATAATTTACCTAACCAAGCAGACGCAAACATTTGCAGCTGCTTGCTACGAAATTTCCCCTTCAAAACCTACAAGGTTAGTATGCGCAGAATTCGTAAATTCGTTCTATTAGCAGTACACGAACTTAAACGACACGCCCACCCCCTGTTGAAAATTCCGACCTCGTTTACGACGTCGTATTCTAAGTAGTTTGTGACGTAGTAAACGACGTAGTAAACGACGTAGTAAACGACGTAGAAAACGACATAGTAAACGACGTCGTAAATGAAAGCGGAATTTGGGATAGTAAATGACGTCGTTTACTACGTCGTTTACGATGTCGTTTACTACGTCGTTTACGGTGTCGTTTACTACGTCGTTTACGATGTCGTTTACGATGTTGCAAAAATTATTTTAATATTATTTATTTAGTAATTTAGTAAGTCCAATATCCAATATTAAAAATTTGAATAATAATTTAAAAAATCAATAATTTAAAAAAAAATTTATTTTTATTATTTTTTAATAGTTATTACTATTATTATTTTATTTTTAATATTTAAATTAAAATAAAAAAATGGTCATCAAAATATTAGTGAAACCATTTCTTCCAAAAAAGAATTTGTCTCAAATCCAATAAATAGGTAGGAGAGACATCGGGCAGAAAAAAATTTCGACAAGAAAACCCGCAATGAGCGAAATAACCCTGTTTTACGGTACGTTATTTAGTTAATTAATTTATTTACAGAGAAAATTTGACAAAAAATTATTTTCTCACCGTGATATTTTTTTTGAGCTACCAATAAATTTTTTACAAATAAAATTTTAAAAAAATTATTTTCTCATGGTGAAATTTTTTCTGTGCTACGAGTAATTTTTTTTGTTAATTATATTCTCATCGTGATATTTTTTTAGGTCACAAATAATTGTCTTGAAAAAATTTTTTTTACTACAAAAATTTAACAAAAAAATTATTTTTTAATGGTAATATTTTTTTTGGCCAACAATTTTTTTTTTTGTCAAATTTTCGTTAAAAATAATTAATTAACGAATTATTAAGTATGACATTATGTTATTAATAATTATTCATGACATTAGTTATTTATTAAGTTAATTATTTGTCATATTTAAAATAAAATAAAATATCTAATAAAATCAAATTTTTCAAATGTTTCCGCGCTGCGCTGATGGCTCAGCTCTGGACTTAAGTTCGCTCAACGCCACAGGGAGGGCGAACATCATAACTGTTTCTCGCAGTTGAGGTGCCATTAGATTGGTATATAAGCAGTGATCGTAAATTTTTTTTCTTGTCGAAATTTTTTTCTGCCCGATGTCTCTCCTACCTATTTATTGGATTTGAGACAAATTCTTTTTTGGAAGAAATGGTTTCACTAATATTTTGATGACCATTTTTTTATTTTAATTTAAATATTAAAAATAAAATAATAATAGTAATAACTATTAAAAAATAATAAAAATAAATTTTTTTTTAAATTATTGATTTTTTAAATTATTATTCAAATTTTTAATATTGGATATTGGACTTACTAAATTACTAAATAAATAATATTAAAATAATTTTTGCAACATCGTAAACGACATCGTAAACGACGTAGTAAACGACACCGTAAACGACGTAGTAAACGACATCGTAAACGACGTAGTAAACGACGTCATTTACTATCCCAAATTCCGCTTTCATTTACGACGTCGTTTACTATGTCGTTTTCTACGTCGTTTACTACGTCGTTTACTACGTCGTTTACTACGTCACAAACTACTTAGAATACGACGTCGTAAACGAGGTCGGAATTTTCAACAGGGCCGTGTGCACGTTTACCATGCCACTACTCACTGCGGTAAAGCGTGGAAGTTTCACCTCCTGGTTCTAGTCTTCTTGGCCTTCACTCAACGCGTTCAGTGAGGACTCCCACCCATGGCTGCAGAAATATTATTTTAATTTCGAATCTTATTATTTTAATTTATATTTTAAATTTAGTTTTTAATAATTTAAATTTTAACAATTCTTTTGTAACAATAATATAAATACTTTGCGATATATTTAGGATAATATAATAATACATTTTCATGAATAATTCATTAATGATTTTGAAATGAAATTCGCGCTTATTGCGTAACACCTGATTATTAAATATATGTATCCATTCAATAGCTACTCGCAATGTTGCTGGAAGGTTTCCGGACGATATCACGGCTGTTTACGGATATACTTCCGAAGTAGGGGTACCTCCGATTTTAATAAAACTTGGTATACTAACGTATTTTGGTGCGCTGATTACGAAAATGATAGTGAAAATTGGCGCAAATTTGATTATCATGGTAAAAACCATAAAAAACACCATAAAATAATGGTTTTTTACGATTATCTCGTAAAAAACGCAAAATTTCGAAAAAAGTTTTAGACAAAAGTTGTAGATCTCAAAAAAACACACATTTCATGTTTTATGCATTTTTTACCAAAAGTCATTACTTTTGGTGAAAAATGGTCCGAAAGTAATTTGCGGAAATTATGGGGTGGAGTCTACAGCAGCGGTAAATGCAAAATATTAAACACGGCCTTCGGCCGCGTAAGGTACTGCTCGCTTCTCTTTTTAAGAAATCTTGGCGAGAGGGGGTGGATGTGTCCGAAAGTAATTTGCGGAAATTGTGAGGTGGAGTCCACAGCAACGGTAAACGCAAAATAGTAAACACGGCCTTCGGCCGCGTAAGGTACTGCTCGCTTTTCTTTTTAAAAAAAACCTTGGCGAGAGGGGGTGGATATGGCCAAAAGTATTTTGCGGAATTCGTTAGATCCTGACTAATGGTGAATATGATACTATATACGAGTCAAATAATATGTCTAACTATGACGGCTGTATATGTTTTCATTATCATGGTGTTTTTCGTTTTTTGGATTTTTCTCGAAAAATAATGACTTTTGGTAAAAAATGCATAAAACATAAAATGTGTGTTTTTTTGAGATCTACAACTTTTGTCTAAAACTTTTTTCGAAATTTTGCGTTTTTTACGAGATAATCGTAAAAAACCATTATTTTATGGTGTTTTTTATGGTTTTTACCATGATAATCAAATTTGCGCCAATTTTCACTATCATTTTTGTAATCAGCGCACCAAAATACGTTAGTATACCAAGTTTCATTAAGATCGGAGGTACCCCTACTTCGGAAGTACACCCCTGTTTACCATTCAATAAGATTTTAGCATGATTTATTAGCTTCAGGAGGTTGTGGCAATGTTGGTTATCGAAGCCGCAACATTCGCAAAATTGCGGTTCGCTAACTACGTAAGTTACAAGTCTGTAACATTGCGACAAGGTCCATTCACTTCTCAACGATTTCAGAGTCATAAATTTTTAATCCGCAACCTTCGCAAAATTGCGATTCACTAATTATTTACGAATTTCGTCTGCAACGTCGCTACAATGTTACTAGTGTACTACAATAGTTGCGGGCCTTCCGACGACGTTATAGACGAAGTTACAAGCTATTTTTGTTTAAAATAAAAGAACAATCAATCGATGAAGATTATGAATTATTACTCTTCATTGTTTGATATATTCTTACAATTCGTGTTGGTTCTAAGAGCTTGCTTTTTATATAAATTAAATTTTTAAAAAGGAGTAAAATTATTATTTTTCCAAGATGCGAGTTGCCTAATAAAGTCGTATTATTTCTTTATATTGTTTCGCTGACTTCCCGAAATTCCTGACGATAATATTATATTAGAGTTGCTACAATCTAACTTGAAGCAAGTTTAAGAATAAAGAAAAATAATTTTAGAGTAAAATAATTTCGATTTGTTTAATTAATAATTTAATGTTTTAATTTTATTTACGTTGCCAAATAAATATTGGCGTAATATTAATGTTGACAAAAAAATGTTTAAAGCATAAGAAGAACATTAGAAAAATAAATTAATGTTTTAAATATTAATCATATTAAATTCAATCAGATACCATATATCATATACCACATAATTTAAATTATGTTTTGTTTCACGGAAGCACTCCCTTTTTGGGAAAATCATATTTCTGATAAATTTTTTTATTTATTTATTTAAAATTATTAAATGAGAGTGGAAATCCATATTGGTGAGTTTGAGGTTAAGTTTGTCAATCTACTTAAATTTTATTTTTATAACAAACTCAAAAAATATAAATTTAATTTCAGTGTTTAAATCTGATGAGGCCCGCTGTTAACGGGCGAAAGCTCATTTAATAAAGAAATTTAAAAATAAAATGTGGATTTTTACCAAAAAACAATTAACATCTTGATTAAATTAGAAAAGTTATTTAATTAAAATATTGAAAATTTAAATATCTATTTAGTTTTAAAAAAAATTTTTGTTACAAATTATTGTTAGTTACTAACGAAAGTTTGATATTTTCGTATTTTGTAATATAATAAAGTTGCAAAGAAAACATGTGATAAAAGTTAAATATTAATATATGTTGATTAATATTGTTTGTTTGAATTATAGAAAAAGAAGACAAAGGAACATATTAGAAATGATTCTACAGGAGCTGCAATAAAATCAGGAGCAGCTGCATTTTTTGGAGCTATGGGATCTGACTGGTTCAGTGCAAGTTGATTTATTAATACTTTTATTTATTATGTTGTAAAAAATCATGTTTTATGTATAATAAAATAGATTTTTCATAAATTTCAACCATAATTGCTATTAGTTTATTTACATAACTATAAAAAATTGATAGAAAATTTTTAATGGAGAAATTTAAAAAAATTTTAATTTTCAATTTTACAAATAGTAATTCATTTTATTTAATAAACAAACAGGACATTTTTCATTATATTTATAGAAATTTTTTTATAAATTCAGATTCTTTTATTTTATTTAGCAATTTTTCATCACGTGAACTGGAAGGCCTGGAAGAATTATTTCATACTTATTATATAATAAAAGAAGGCTGAAAAATAATTGTGAATAAAATAAAAATAAATGAAAATAATATTTTAGTAATTAATACGTGAAAATTGATTTTGATGATAATTATTATTTTCCAAAAAGTTTTTGGGAGAGCTGACGTACTAGTATAATACATTAATTTATCATGGTAATATTACCATGAGGCGGACATTTTAATATATTACGTGCTAAATGGGTTATAATAATTATATTATATCTAAAAAGTCAACATTCCAAATGATCTAACTTTATTAAACAAATGCAAAATTTTTTTTAACATATGGGGCTAGTTGCATTGTATTTTTAGGAACTCATGTATGATATAACAAAAAAATGTTCATGTTGTCCAAAGGCAACACTGGTCCTCAAAGGGTTAAAAAAATGTATACACAAAACTCTTCACTCACGTAAAAAGGATGTGTAAAAATCTCCAATTAATCCAATTTCATTTATTGGCTTTTCCGCAACTTCACAAATTATACGTAATAGACGTCCTTCACCAGGAAATTCTACACTAAATGGAAAATAAATGTACTTTTTAAAAAATAATTATAAAAAGTCCATTAAAAACTAATGTGACGTTTCACGATGAGGGGAACCTAACGCGACAAAACAGTAAAAGTAAAGCTTGTTTTACAGAGAAATGAGCTTAAAATATTTGTTGCATCAGGTCCCTTTCACCTCTTCTTTCACCGTGAGGTTACGGTCACACCAGATCCGTTCCACTGGAACCTCCATAATTGAATTTTTATAATTCAAGTATACCAAAATTTTTGGGCGCAAAGTCCGATTATTTGGCTCCTTTATATTTTTTAAAAAATCAAATTTTGGGTCGAGGTGCCAGGGAAATTTTCCGCTAGCATCTCCATTGAAGAAAAATTAAAAATTTTTAAAAATAAAGTAGGTGGGATTTTTGGGCTAATTTAGGGTTTTCAAAAAAATATTATAAAAATTTTCAAAAATCATCTCTTATAATAAAACGGTCACCCCCGAAAAATCATTCACTCCAAAAAAATTACAATTTACTCTATTTAAATGTGCCTTTTTTGGCACCAACCCTTAACTTAAAACTAGTGCCAAAGTGAATGAATGAAACCGAAAAGCAAAAACGTTAAAAACTCTTTATCAGTTTTAATATCAACAATATTTTTTATGTTTCTAAAAAATATCCTCTTCGATTTGAGGAAAACATCCGTTAACTCAGGATCACTCCAAACTGTTAGAGGTGTTGATAAAATGTTACTTTTCATCTGCTAATATTGATACAATATTTTTGGGTTCTCTAAAATTATCTTTCTTGATTTTTGGCCTTCAACCGCCTTACTTTAAAACTACATTAAAAAAAATTATTTGATTCAAGTAATTCAAATTATTTGAAAAATACTTACTTGTTTCAAATACTTTTTATTTGGATCCAAAATATATATTTGATTCACATAACTTGATTTATTTGAATCACACTTGTGCGCTCCTCCTGGAACATCGTTATTTCCACAAGCAGGGCACTTTAATATTTGCGCTGGTTTTACGTATAGTTATTTATTTCAGCTTCTACCACATGTGGATTGTCGGCTTCTTCTACGTCATTTAATTTATCTTTATTTTTTTATTTTCTGTTTCCTCTCTATTGGAACTGTTTAATTTTTTTTAATTCATTTTTTTAATCATTAAATTCTGATTCCGATGCGGCGCTAGTTGCTGGTACCTTACCATAGCCGAAGTCATCCCTATATTATATGCACGACCACAATGGGATCCAATGAACGTGAGAAAGTATTTTTATTACTTACTCTGGATAATACTTTTTATTTTATAAAATGATAAAAATCATAACTAATGATTATTAAATATTTTTATACTATTAAATAAGGATCACAGATTTTTGTTTGAACCCTGGTATTTATTAATTTGGTGATTTTATCGATATTTTGCTTTAATAAAGCTTACATTACCATGCTTTAGCACGTGTAACTTTCGATGTTTTTTAAGTATTTTAATTTTTTTAATTTTGTTTCTTTAAAAAAAATTTTTTATCACTATTATAAACTATTTAAAAATATCTAAACAATTTTATAAACAAGGTAAAAAAGTGTATATTAGGGTGGTCCTTAAAAAACAAATTTTCGAATTTTAAAGTTCGTAACCCCTCATTTTGTTAAGCATGGAAAAATAAGAGACACGTATTTTTTTTTTTTTTTTTAAATTAATATTTAATGGTGCCTCATCGCACTTGAATTTTTACATGCATTTTGCATGGGGAAAAAACGTTTTTTCGTAGATTTGCTATGAAATGATGAAAAATGAATATTTTTTTATCGGACCACTTTGTTTTTCTTCATTTATTTTCAAAGAATAAGATCCAATAATTTATTTATGAATTTTTAATAACAAATATTTTTTAAACAGCCCCTAAAAACCCTCAAAAAATGCAAAATCAGGGAAAAATCGTTAAAAAATGTTTATTAATATTTTTTATAGTCTTTTTTGCAAGATTTTTTATTTACAAATTGAACAAATACTATTAATCGTATTTTTCAATAATTTGCAATTTGTTTAAACAATATATTGTTGTTACTGTAAAATTGTTGTTAAAAATATCTGGAAAATGATGTTTTTTTTAATTTTATAACTTTTATTGACATGAACTGCAATAAATAACAGTTTATTTAAAAAAATGTCAACAAAAATTGTTTAAACAAATTATTTTTGTTATTTTAAAACTAGTGTTTAAATGTATCTACAAAGTTGCTCTTCCCCCTTAATTTTGCAAGTAGTTCTGCTGTTTACAATTGCAATAGTATCTTAAATTTGAAACTTCATTTTCGACAATTGTTTAAACAATTTAATTTTTTAATCAATTTAATACTTTTAGATTTTCTAAAATACATACAGTGCGAATTATTAACTGTCAGAATTAGGCTGGGCCGCAGTTAATAATTCGCACTGTATGTATTTTAGAAAATCTAAAAGTATTAAATTGATTAAAAAATTAAATTGTTTAAACAATTGTCGAAAATGAAGTTTCAAATTTAAGATACTATTGCAATTGTAAACAGCAGAACTACTTGCAAAATTAAGGGGGAAGAGCAACTTTGTAGATACATTTAAACACTAGTTTTAAAATAACAAAAATAATTTGTTTAAACAATTTTTGTTGACATTTTTTTAAATAAACTGTTATTTATTGCAGTTCATGTCAATAAAAGTTATAAAATTAAAAAAAACATCATTTTCTAGATATTTTTAACAACAATTTTACAGTAACAACAATATATTGTTTAAACAAATTGCAAATTATTGAAAAATACGATTAATAGTATTTGTTCAATTTGTAAATAAAAAATCTTGCAAAAAAGACTATAAAAAATATTAATAAACATTTTTTAACGATTTTTCCCTGATTTTGCATTTTTTGAGGGTTTTTAGGGGCTGTTTAAAAAATATTTGTTATTAAAAATTCATAAATAAATTATTGGATCTTATTCTTTGAAAATAAATGAAGAAAAACAAAGTGGTCCGATAAAAAAATATTCATTTTTCATCATTTCATAGCAAATCTACGAAAAAACGTTTTTTCCCCATGCAAAATGCATGTAAAAATTCAAGTGCGATGAGGCACCATTAAATATTAATTTAAAAAAAAAAAAAAAAATACGTGTCTCTTATTTTTCCATGCTTAACAAAATGAGGGGTTACGAACTTTAAAATTCGAAAATTTGTTTTTTAAGGACCACCCTAGTGTATATTATTGCAATGTAAAAGATATAATGCTTTTAAAAGTGTCCCTCACTTTTTGTGTCGCTGGTCAAATCACCTGGTTTTCTATAAAATAATCATTGAAATACTGAACAAAAAATTTCGAAACTAGAGGCACAGTTAAATTGTTCCTCAATTTTCACACCACTGTACTTTATTTTATTTTTTTACACATTTTAAAGAAAATATATTGTTTGATATCTGTGTTAATCGAGAAGTACTATAAAAATGTCGCTGGTCAAATCAGCTAGTTTTACGAAGTTTCTTATCGAATCAGCACCAAAATTGTGGCACATATACTTTTTGATGTACCTAAAACGATGCACATGTTTTTATTTATTTTAATTCTTATTTAATTATTAATTTAACGTGGATATTCAATTTGTCGCTCGTCAAATTGTCTCTTGGTCAAATCAATCTTTTTCTGATCAACCTGAATTTGCGCATTTTTTGTTTCATGTTTTTTTAACTTTAATGATAAACCAAAACATTGACAAAAATGGACGAAGCAAAAGTAATTAAACGTGAAAAAATGAGAGAAAAGCGAAAAAAGGAAGCAGAAAAACGTGAAAAAAGGAACGAGGGAAGAAGAGAATATCGACTCAAGACACTTAAGTAATATTTATTTATTATTCGTGCGAATTAGTTAAGTAAATGAAAATGTTATTATTTTAGGTTGTGTTGAAAATCTCACTTTATTTTCTCAAAACAATCGATTTTGTAAAAAGTTTTTTTTACTGATGGTGACTGAAAAATATAAATTGTATAAAAAGTGAATAATTATTGTTTTCTTATTTCCTTTAATTATATTTATATTATTTTATTAAATCATTTATATAATAAATACATATTTATTGAATTATATGATATTTGTATCATTTTTATAATATTTTATAATACATTTTATGATATTTTCTTATATATTTTATATTAATTTATTATATTCATCATATTATATTATACTCCACAATTTATTATAATTTTAT